CTAACTCTTGCCCTTTTGTCCTTTCTCTGAGTCCTGGACCCACCTGCTTTTATCAAAGAACACTGCTATTACTACTGCTTTTTTTCTTTTCTGAACACACATGTCAACTTCTGTGGCAGCTCTGCAATAGACAGAAGGTCTGCTTCATATTACATGAGAACCATTCACTTGTCATCCACATTCCAGTTTAACTTAGCTCTCCAGATATAAAAGATGAGGCATGGCAGTATTTAATACTTAAAGTCAATTTAGTGGTACTAATTAGCACTGTCTTCAAAGCCTTATCATGAACACTACTAGTAATAATATGGTAGTTCTTACGGCTCAGGTTCCTTGGCAGCTGTTACATGCAGGAGAAGAATAGCCCAAAGAAACTTCAGCCACATTTTTCTCACTGGGAGACAGAATAAAGAGATAAGCTCTCTTCCCGAGAAAAAATTCATTTCCTACTAGTTCAACGGCTCTGCAACATTCCTCACCCAGCCCTCCAGAGGAAAGGAGTTGGCCCTTCAACTCCTCCCTGGCTCCTTCCTTAGATGTTAGTGCCTTTATAATTGCAGCAAGGGGTGGAGATCCCAGTCTATCCTACTGCTTGCAAGAACCTCCCCTAACCCTACTGCAACCTAAACCAACCCACTGCCTTCAGACCGTAACGCTTTACTGCAGTTATCTGAGTGTCTGTGCAAAATATCTTCAGTGGTCTTGTTTCGAAGGCTTTGCTTTTTACACTGACGCTTGGAACAGCACAGGAAAGCACAAAATGCCCTAAACGAGAACAAGCCTGTCAAACCAGATTAACGTTTGAGGGTTTTCCCCATCACTGTCGGAATTTACCATCCGGATTGACAGTCTGGATGAAGTAGACTAACTTTCTATACTTTGACACCTGATTCTGGTTAAAACAATGTATTAGCCTCTCTTTTCCCTCGCTTCATAGATATTTTGAATATTGACAAAATGGAATAATAGAGAAGATAGATAGAGATCTGCAAGGTCATCCTTATTTCTACCACAGCCATTAAGCACTTTACAGTGTTTGACTCATTTCAGCTTGAAATTAGCCAGTCAGTGGGTCCATGTAAATTTGTTAGTGCCCCAGGTTTCTAGTTTTCACACCTATCTGGAAGCTAATATTTTTTTAAAGGAGAAAAATGATCTGCTTTCATCCTAAGACCTTATTTTAGGATAAAAAAAAGGATTAACTCCTCCTTTTGTTCCCCTGTGCTCTCAAAAGAAAATAAAGCACTCTGTGTGCTGCTCCCCACAAGAACAACAACGCTGGAAATCAGTTGTTTGATAACTGTAATTCTTTTTTTTCCTATTCATATTGGTACTGGCTCTGGCTGGGATGAGATTATGAAGTCAGCTTTCTTCATAGTAGCCTGTATGGTGCTGTGCTTTGCATTTGTGGCCAGAACAGTGTTCACAACTCACCAGCGTTTTGGCTATTGCTGAGCAGTGCTTGCACAGCGTCGAGGCTTTCTCTCTCTCACCTCCCATCCGAAAGCCAGCAGGCTGGGGGTGGGCAAGGGATTGGGAGGGGACACAGCTGGGACAGCTGACCCAAACTGACCAAAGGGATATTCCATACTACATGACATCACGCTCAGCAATAAAAGGTGGGGGAAAGGAAGAGGAGGGGTGACATTTGTGGTTATGGCATTTATCTTCCGAAGCAACCACTGTGCACACTGAGGCCCTACTTCTCAGTAAGTGGCTGGACATCTGACTGCTGATGGGAAGTAGCCAACTAAATTTCTCCTTTTGCTTCTCTTTCACATGCACCTTTTTCTCTCTTTATTTTACTTTCTTTATCTCAATCCACTCGTCTTTTTGCCTTCCCCTTCTGTCCCTCCATCCTCAGGGAAGGGCAGTGAGCGAAAGGTAGGGTGGGTGCTCAGTTGCTGGCTGGGGTCAACCCAGCAGTGTATGTTGTCAGCATGGTTAAATTTTGTAGACCTGAAGCCAGAGAGATATGACTTGACAGGCAGCATGGGAACATGTTTTTCTCTGATCTCCTGATATGTTTTGTGACTGTCTCTTCCTGTTTCTTGCTAGTGTGTGATGCAGAGAATGGTAGCACCTGCCACAAAGGGCAGCTATGAAACTTTCTTCACTTACATCTTCACATTTTCACAGAAGTATCAAACCATATGAAATTGGAACAGGGCAGCAGCAACAGGTGGTTCCCCAGAGGTCTCTCTGTGGCATGCTTTTGGTTGCTTAGACCACTCTCTGATGTTCTGCTCTGAAAGCCCAGCTCCCTCTCATTTCTATTAAAGATTATTCTCTACCAGCAGTTCAGGAGCTTCACTCAAGATCAGGCTTGATTTCCAATGCAATGGGATATCCACACCAGGAGCTGTCAAGAACAAAAATTCACTGACTAAGGCTTGAACTTGAGTTGATGTTGTTAAAAAAAAATAGATGACCAGTATTGCATGTTCTTGCTTTTCCTGGCTTTCTCAGGTAGTTAGGAATTTATTGCAACATAATAAAGTATTCATCCCAAGCAAGCCAGTGTGATAATCATCACAGTTAACATACTTATGCAGCAAGAAGTATTCTGTGGCTACTTTTGAAAGTTTAATCAAAAGATCAAGTGGGTTAGGTGACATCCAAAGATTGTATAGATAGAGGAGGGTAGTTGTGTATAACTTACTGTTATAACAAGAAAGTTTTTTGGTGCAAATAGGGATTGGATTGTGGCATCAGTTAGAAAGTCCACTCTTGTGGCATCAGCTAAAAAGTCCATATTTCCAAGTACTGGCATTACTCACAGTGTGTTCTGTCCACATATGCCTTCTGATGGTAACTAAATGCAGGACAAAAAAGTTCCATGTGTTCTATATCCAAATAACTCACCACACTGTTTAAACTCTCCACTAACCAGAATGGAGAAGGTGCGTCTAGTAATGAGATAAGCAAACAAGAAATGCAATTATCTGGAATTGCAATGTTATTGGACTAATATGTTTGCAATCAAACAAATAGCCTGGATGAAAGAAAGCCACTACACCTTATCACAATAAAGGAAATTAGAGGTCATCCCATCTTGTTGGCTATAACATATAATCATTTGTCTTTCACACAAAAATCAAACAACATTCCCCTTGATACAACAAAAGGGTGTTTTAAGGACAGGTATTTACAAAACTATTGATTTTCAGTTTTTCTGGGTGTTTGTTTTGTTTTTGTTTTGTTTTGTTTTTCTGACTCTATCTCCTTGCTCTTGAAGTTCTATCAGTTTCATTTAACTCATCTGTTTATATGCAAGAAGCTTGCGGAGATTGTTCTGTAGGGTAATTAGAGATGCTACTTCATCACCAGGTTAAGAGACTGTATTCGGGGTTTCTGTTCTTTCCTCATGGAAGAATTAATTCAGATGGCTGGCGCCCAAGTTAACCTAAACCTCCTCCCCACACATGCTTAAATAGAAGGCATGCAAGATTCTCTCTTTAGTCCTCTGTCACTGAGATTTCTTGGAGATAGGTCTCAAGGCTGCTGTGTGTTGTAACAACACCATGATTCTTCCAATACTGGAGATATTGGAAGAACTTGTTGATCTTTCTGGGCATGTATGAGGAACCATGAAGTAATGGTGGAGAAATATCTGTATGCAGATGGATTATCTTGCATTCTTGACTCAAAATGAGTTGTTTGCCAGTCAACTTTGAGTGTCACCTAAGCCATAACTTCAGACCTCTGCTAGTCATGTTTAGTAGTAGCACCTCACTTGTTTTGCAGATGGAAAGCAATGAGAGGGAGCCTTGGCAATAGTAGAATAAGCTGATTGATTTTGTTAACTGTTAAGACACAATCCACCAGCTGAATATAGATAGCTTTTTGCTGCTTAAACCCCGCTGCAGGCAGAGTTAGACTGTAAAAATTGTGCCTTTGTGGTTTTGCTTTGATTTATTTGAGGCACTAGATGTGTTCTATCAGTAAAAACTTATCTTGACAAATAAAAGCTGTCTTGTTAAGATAAACTAGAATAATACTATTCAACTGCATTCATAGAGAACTGGTCACAGTGATTTCTGTGTAAAAGAATGATCTCACATCAAATTTCACTCACTATTATTGCAAAGAACCCCATTTCTCTCCTGTGGGAGTCATAAAATGGCTCTAGGAAAATTCCAGTAGTCTCTGGAGCTCCACGGTTTTTTCCCTGGTTTTTCAGTATTTGTAGCAGCTCACATTTCATTTCATTATGGTACTCTTTACTCTTTCAGTTTATTGCCATAACCCAACCATCCTTTGTGCTTCACTGGAGTAGTGGAGGAGAGTTTGCACAGGCTAGCAGAGCAACTCTGAACTAGCCAGCTGAGAACTGTGGTAGGTAGTGGCAGGACCCCTGGCAAAGCCCATTTGAGGAGTTCCATGATTGTCTTCCTAGCAGCACCCTCCTGGCAGTCTGAAGCCAACTTGGATACGTCTGCACGACCTGTAACAATATCTTTGTGGTGTAGACACTGTCACCTTTCTTGTAAATATGTTAGTTGCTGCATTCAAAGGAGGATCAACACAAGGAAACTTGGTCATTACAGCTAGGAAAATCAATCGGAAAGCACCGAAGACATCTGCAACTTTGACTATGACTGCTTCCTGTAAAACCTTCTTTAACCAGACTAGATTGTAACAACCTGTTTAGGCATAATAAAGGTCGAAATGCTTGGTTTGGCCCAGGTGGCTGGGGAACAATGCTGAAACATCTTAACTACAGGTAGTTGCTTGGTCAATAGGGTCTCCAGTCAAGCATGCAAGATTTCTTTCATTGTTCTAAGACACGTGGGCCCTGCCAATGTTCTCTAGAAGCCCTGCAAACTAACAGGATGGTGAGCTCGTTGAAGAAAACAACCATATCCCTAGAGCTTGCAGTGATTTCTCTCAACAAAATGGCGGGGGGGGGTGTCTCTTCTCTAAGCCCTGTCTCTTTCCCCAGTTCTTGGGAATTTCTTGCTCTTCAGCATATTTCCTAACCAATTTGCACCTGGTACTTACTCTCCACAGGCTTTCACCGTGAACTCTGAATCCAGGACTGTAAGGCTTTCTGGTGCAGTGACTGTGACATCAAATTTTGGCAACACTAGAACAAAGAATGAAAATAAATAAAAAAACAACAACACTGGCACATTGTAAACTTGCAGGCCCTCCTGAAGTGAAAGAGGAAATGAGGCTATATCATCAGTGTTAGTCACAGGTGGAACGGCATCTCAGCAAATGGTTGAGAAGTGGCCTGACCTGCAGAGGCTCAGGAAAGTATTTCTACAAAGCTTTAAAGAGAAGCCAGGGCTTCTGATGTGACTCCTGTGATGTCTAGAGCTTTAGTCAAGAAAATTAGTAGATGTGGCTGGGAGAAGGTTAGTCTGTCACAGTGAAATTTGCAATCAACTTATTAATTTGTTGTGCAAATTATTTTCTGTCTGAATCCGTCCAAAATCGTTAATTTATCTTCTTCAGGCTTTTTACTGTCTTTTTTTTTTTTTTTTCCCCTACGGTTCTGAATGAGAACTAGTTGAAGTTGCATTTGGCAGGAAGCTGTTTGAAGTTTTAGCAGTCAAAGGGCTTGATTGATAGGGGGCTCATCCCTAATAATGTTTTCCACTCTGAATAAAAACAAAGGGTGGCATTTACCATATTCCTCCACAAGGAATGAGTGATTTGTTTTATCTCCCGACATCTTTGCTACGATAATTTTGTAGCTCCCCAGGATAGGCTCTTCAGTTAGTGGGAATTCAATCTGGATAATGTTCATCTCTGACGTCACATTTTGCCACTGAAAGATCCTGTTGCCCTGTGGATCCTGAAGAAGAAAAAAAAAAAAAACAGACTCATAGTTTGTTTGCTTTGGAAATCTTTTGCTACTAGCACACAAAACCAGAAGCAGAGAAGAAAATAGGGCAAGTTGCTTTAACTCATTGGTGAAGTTGTGTAATGCAAGTGCATTGAGATAAATTATGCCTTTGTATACTCTGATTATTAAAGTTGCTAGATTTTCATCTGTGGATCTCAGATTTAGGCATCCTCTGCCAGCCTAGTTATTAGTTATTAGTCTCAATCATCAGGGGAAGCTGCACAATAATACTCTTCCCTGCTTTTTAATATTCGTTGCTCTACTTTTATGCTGAGAGGATAGACAGAAAATCTTCTTCATGTTTCCCCTTCTGCCGAGCTTATCCCGTATAAATCCTGGCCTTTAGCAACCCCAGCTTTTTTTCAGCTGCTAGAAGAAGGAAGGAAGCATTTCTTCTGCATTCACTGATGTGTCATTTGCCTCTCAGTATATGTTATGTCAGTTGGACTAAAGAGGACTCATTCACACCATTTTCTTGAACTCTGTAAAGCACCGACTGCGGAAAAAACACACATAGAGCTCAAAATATGCATGTTTCGCTGCAAACAAAATAGTTACCTGGCTACATGATATAAAATCAAAACTTGCAAGAACGTTATCTAGACATGGACTGCAATTGCTATTTTAAAAGTCATGCCATGGAAGAGCTAACATAGCTAGTAGTTGTAACCACAGGCTATATTTGTTCATAGTTTTCAGCAGCACTTGAGTAATGAAAAGATATACCCCAAAATAGGTTGAGCAAACTGAAGGAGGTGGAGGGGAGTCAAAGGCAGTCATAAGAACAGTACAACTTTTAACTGCTGAAATGAATATAGGTATGCTTTCCATGTTAGTAAGGCTCAAACAGCATCCTGTGATTTTATGAAGTTCCTGTTAACTTTTGCCAGACTACTCAGGAGCAAGATTTGGCTGTGTGTAGACACATGCAAACTGGAGTAAGTACATATGCCCTAGATTTTATTTTTAGATGTGTAATACAGTGCAAAGAGAAAAAAAATCTTACCTGAATTGCAATCAAGGGGTACTGAAAGAGGAAAAAAACAGTGGGAGAGGAGATTAGGTGACTGAACAAACAAGAATTAATTTTCCCCAGGACTGTGAGGAATGTATAACCAATAATCAGTATAATGCCAATAATCAGATATCCTCATCTCTTACTATAATCAGTTAAATAGCAGTTTAACTTCAATAAAAAGATTACATAAAGGGAAGAGATTGAAAGGAGAATGTTGAGGCAGTTTCTGAACATACTGCATTTAGTGCAATCCCAGAGCATCTGAGTAAATAGAGATGCACGTAAACTGTGATTTGGACTTCTTTGGTCTTATGTCCTCACTCTGCTTATTAGCACCAGCTTTTTTTTTTATTTTTTTATTTTTTTTGTAATGCTGTGCTGTTTTCTGCATTACAACCACATGAGAAGAGGTCACCCTTCCATCTCTTGGCTTCAGCATGAAGACAGCTTGCTGGCAATGAAAAGGGTGCCTCTGATGACACAAACAATTGTGGTAACAACTTCCATCTTCATTTCCCCATTTCTAAAATGGGCAAAGTACCAGGTGGATGACTTACCAATTCTTTGCAAGCACCAACTGCTGAACAGTAACAGCAGGAGACTGAACCATGGGCTTTCCGGTCAGAGCTAAAATAATGTCTGCAGCAACTAAATGAAGGGTTTTTGAGCCTCTTTCCCAGCAATAGCAGCAGGTATCGTGTCAGGAATCCAACCTGCTGCACACTTGCACTCTTCCCTGTGAGTCTAATGTAAGGGTGGGTTATAGCACGTGCTTAGGAAAGAATGTAAATTCTTTGGCAGTTAATCTTGCAACATCTCATTTTATCCACAGCAACTGTCTATTTAAAATTTGAGAAGAGGTTGTCTGCCAGCAATTTTAAATACAGGGGAATATTACTGGTCACTCACCACCTCCTGAACAGGTTTAAAATTGAAATCCAGGGCAACAACACGAAACATCACTGGAAAGACAAGAAAGAGGGTGTTAGCATTAACTGTACTTTATTTGGCTGAGCAAGGTGTTTTGCATCCATTAGTACTCCTAGTTTCACTGCATCTTCCCACAGTCCCATTTGCACAGGATGCAGGTAGTTAAATGCATCTGAAGGTAAAAGAATTGTACACAGACTTTGCTGAGGGGAGTTTTCACACTCTTTCATGAGAGTTTGCTTAACCTCAGAGGAAGGGGACAACTGAATGAATGAGAACTGCTGTGCAGGTCAGGCAGTCTCAAGTGACAGCCATAACTCTTTTAGTAGCCTTCTGCATGATGTAGGCAAGCTTATTCCTCTTCATTTCCTGATCTCTAAATCAGGGTTTGTTGCTTTGAACATAGGAAAGTTCCAAATATTACTGAAACTAGGTGAATTGTCAGTTTTTCCTAATGCACTGTAATTGCTCTTAGTTCCCTTTGTTTTGTTCTCATCCTGTAGAGGTTTTTGCCATATTTTTTTTCTTTAATATTTACAAGAGAAAAACTGAAAGAAGAACAGTGAATTAGTGCACAAGGAAAATCATAAAATCATGTTTCAAAAGTGTCCTTACAAAGCATTACCTTTTCATAATTTAATTTAGTTACTGCTTCCCCCACTTCAAAACAAAGCTATATGACAAAAAATCAAGCCAAATAATCAAGGTGGACACCTTGGTGGCACGAAATTCTGATTGGTAAGCTTTCCTTCATGCTATTTATCTCTGTAGATAGAACTCATGGCAAATTAAAGTATAGCTGATCCAGTCTAATGGCTATATTATTTGGATGACCCTCTGGAAAGAAGTATTCCTGTAGTGTTTTGTAGTGTTCTGCCTGTGTGCTAGAAGCCTTAAAGCCTAAAAGTGAGTTAAGGAATGGATCTAGATAAATGGTTTTTTGCATACATGGAGCTCTATTTGATGGCCAGGTGAGAAGTATGGATAAGGGAACAGCATAAGTGCAGGGAAAGCAACAACATGAAAATATGCAGTCTAAAGCCATCAGAACCGAGAAGGTAAAAAGCATGATTTTGTCTTTAAAAAATTACAATTAATTTTAAAATAATGGATTTCACTCTTGGTCTTTAGATTGTCTTTGGTGCTAACAGAAGACTGGGGGAGCACTGTTTTATGCCAGGCACTTAAGCAGTGATCTAATCACCTCTTTCCACTATCTTGACCTGTCACCAGTAATGAAACAACAGCAGTAAAAGGTCCCCTCTTCTATCATCTGGGAGGAAGGGACAAAGAAAATAATAGAAACCATGGGATGACAGTCTCCTGCCATCCTGAAGATGACTCTCTGAGCTCCACCACAAATACTTGTAATGGTTTTAACAGAAACTCTGAAGAAACTGGCTATACTGAAGCTTAGTCTGAAAAATACCCGGCAGTCAGAAGAAGAAATTGCTTCTTAAGGGGCATGTTATAAACTAAATAGATATTCACCGCTCTGTCCTGGTTTGTAGATGGGCTTGTCTGTCTGCACAAAGACAATGCTTTCCGTGTTCCAGATCATCACCGACCGCCGCTCTTCTAGGCTGACTGTGGTGCCCTTGGCAGAGAACGAAATGAAAGCCAATGGGGCAGAACTGACAGGAGGAATCTGTGAGGAAACAGAAAAATAAGGGGAGGTTGCTAGTCTTAAAGTCATTTGCTCCAGAGCCTATGGAACAGCTATACCTGTGGCCTGGTCTCATGTGAAGAGACACTTGTCTCTCTTCTACCACCTTCATCACCTTCCATCACATTTCTTGGACCTTTTTAATTTCTTATATCTATTAAAAATACCTCCTTGTCTGATATATCTCTTCTCTACTTCCTTTTTCCTTCAACAAGTCTTATTTCTTCTGTTGCTTGTTCCTCTCATGTGCTCTCTGCTCTAAGTTTCTTGTCCCTCCCTACTTTTCCATTGGGACATAAATTAAAATTAATTTACCGTGAAGTTGAAGCACTGTAGACCGTTGCTGGCTGTCATGGTTTTCTCAAAAATAGTGGTGTTAACAGCACCATATTCAAGGATGACTCTGACGGATATTGTCTCGTTGAGGTTAAGGAACTGCAGGCAAACCTGGCCTGGAGAGTCAGTTTGAAGGACAGCAGGCACCATCAGGACATACTGCCTGTGAGATCCAAACATCAAAGTGATCACAATATAGAAAAAGGAGAAACAGCCTCAACAGGATGAAAAACATACAAAGCATTATTCTTCAGTACTCACTGATTAGTTTAGGTTAAATACAGGACACTCTGCCAATGCCCCTAACTCTTGCCCTTTTGTCCTTTCTCTGAGTCCTGGACCCACCTGCTTTTATCAAAGAACACTGCTATTACTACTGCTTTTTTTCTTTTCTGAACACACATGTCAACTTCTGTGGCAGCTCTGCAATAGACAGAAGGTCTGCTTCATATTACATGAGAACCATTCACTTGTCATCCACATTCCAGTTTAACTTAGCTCTCCAGATATAAAAGATGAGGCATGGCAGTATTTAATACTTAAAGTCAATTTAGTGGTACTAATTAGCACTGTCTTCAAAGCCTTATCATGAACACTACTAGTAATAATATGGTAGTTCTTACGGCTCAGGTTCCTTGGCAGCTGTTACATGCAGGAGAAGAATAGCCCAAAGAAACTTCAGCCACATTTTTCTCACTGGGAGACAGAATAAAGAGATAAGCTCTCTTCCCGAGAAAAAATTCATTTCCTACTAGTTCAACGGCTCTGCAACATTCCTCACCCAGCCCTCCAGAGGAAAGGAGTTGGCCCTTCAACTCCTCCCTGGCTCCTTCCTTAGATGTTAGTGCCTTTATAATTGCAGCAAGGGGTGGAGATCCCAGTCTATCCTACTGCTTGCAAGAACCTCCCCTAACCCTACTGCAACCTAAACCAACCCACTGCCTTCAGACCGTAACGCTTTGCTGCAGTTATCTGAGTGTCTGTGCAAAATATCTTCAGTGGTCTTGTTTCGAAGGCTTTGCTTTTTACACTGACGCTTGGAACAGCACAGGAAAGCACAAAATGCCCTAAACGAGAACAAGCCTGTCAAACCAGATTAACGTTTGAGGGTTTTCCCCATCACTGTCGGAATTTACCATCCGGATTGACAGTCTGGATGAAGTAGACTAACTTTCTATACTTTGACACCTGATTCTGGTTAAAACAATGTATTAGCCTCTCTTTTCCCTCGCTTCATAGATATTTTGAATATTGACAAAATGGAATAATAGAGAAGATAGATAGAGATCTGCAAGGTCATCCTTATTTCTACCACAGCCATTAAGCACTTTACAGTGTTTGACTCATTTCAGCTTGAAATTAGCCAGTCAGTGGGTCCATGTAAATTTGTTAGTGCCCCAGGTTTCTAGTTTTCACACCTATCTGGAAGCTAATATTTTTTTAAAGGAGAAAAATGATCTGCTTTCATCCTAAGACCTTATTTTAGGATAAAAAAAAGGATTAACTCCTCCTTTTGTTCCCCTGTGCTCTCAAAAGAAAATAAAGCACTCTGTGTGCTGCTCCCCACAAGAACAACAACGCTGGAAATCAGTTGTTTGATAACTGTAATTCTTTTTTTTCCTATTCATATTGGTACTGGCTCTGGCTGGGATGAGATTATGAAGTCAGCTTTCTTCATAGTAGCCTGTATGGTGCTGTGCTTTGCATTTGTGGCCAGAACAGTGTTCACAACTCACCAGCGTTTTGGCTATTGCTGAGCAGTGCTTGCACAGCGTCGAGGCTTTCTCTTTCTCACCTCCCATCCGAAAGCCAGCAGGCTGGGGGTGGGCAAGGGATTGGGAGGGGACACAGCTGGGACAGCTGACCCAAACTGACCAAAGGGATATTCCATACTACATGACATCACGCTCAGCAATAAAAGGTGGGGGAAAGGAAGAGGAGGGGTGACATTTGTGGTTATGGCATTTATCTTCCGAAGCAACCACTGTGCACACTGAGGCCCTACTTCTCAGTAAGTGGCTGGACATCTGACTGCTGATGGGAAGTAGCCAACTAAATTTCTCCTTTTGCTTCTCTTTCACATGCACCTTTTTCTCTCTTTATTTTACTTTCTTTATCTCAATCCACTCGTCTTTTTGCCTTCCCCTTCTGTCCCTCCATCCTCAGGGAAGGGCAGTGAGCGAAAGGTAGGGTGGGTGCTCAGTTGCTGGCTGGGGTCAACGCAGCAGTGTACGTTGTCAGCATGGTTAAATTTTGTAGACCTGAAGCCAGAGAGATATGACTTGACAGGCAGCATGGGAACATGTTTTTCTCTGATCTCCTGATATGTTTTGTGACTGTCTCTTCCTGTTTCTTGCTAGTGTGTGATGCAGAGAATGGTAGCACCTGCCACAAAGGGCAGCTATGAAACTTTCTTCACTTACATCTTCACATTTTCACAGAAGTATCAAACCATATGAAATTGGAACAGGGCAGCAGCAACAGGTGGTTCCCCAGAGGTCTCTCTGTGGCATGCTTTTGGTTGCTTAGACCACTCTCTGATGTTCTGCTCTGAAAGCCCAGCTCCCTCTCATTTCTATTAAAGATTATTCTCTACCAGCAGTTCAGGAGCTTCACTCAAGATCAGGCTTGATTTCCAATGCAATGGGATATCCACACCAGGAGCTGTCAAGAACAAAAATTCACTGACTAAGGCTTGAACTTGAGTTGATGTTGTTAAAAAAAAATAGATGACCAGTATTGCATGTTCTTGCTTTTCCTGGCTTTCTCAGGTAGTTAGGAATTTATTGCAACATAATAAAGTATTCATCCCAAGCAAGCCAGTGTGATAATCATCACAGTTAACATACTTATGCAGCAAGAAGTATTCTGTGGCTACTTTTGAAAGTTTAATCAAAAGATCAAGTGGGTTAGGTGACATCCAAAGATTGTATAGATAGAGGAGGGTAGTTGTGTATAACTTACTGTTATAACAAGAAAGTTTTTTGGTGCAAATAGGGATTGGATTGTGGCATCAGTTAGAAAGTCCACTCTTGTGGCATCAGCTAAAAAGTCCATATTTCCAAGTACTGGCATTACTCACAGTGTGTTCTGTCCACATATGCCTTCTGATGGTAACTAAATGCAGGACAAAAAAGTTCCATGTGTTCTATATCCAAATAACTCACCACACTGTTTAAACTCTCCACTAACCAGAATGGAGAAGGTGCGTCTAGTAATGAGATAAGCAAACAAGAAATGCAATTATCTGGAATTGCAATGTTATTGGACTAATATGTTTGCAATCAAACAAATAGCCTGGATGAAAGAAAGCCACTACACCTTATCACAATAAAGGAAATTAGAGGTCATCCCATCTTGTTGGCTATAACATATAATCATTTGTCTTTCACACAAAAATCAAACAACATTCCCCTTGATACAACAAAAGGGTGTTTTAAGGACAGGTATTTACAAAACTATTGATTTTCAGTTTTTCTGGGTGTTTGTTTTGTTTTTTGTTTTGTTTTGTTTTTCTGACTCTATCTCCTTGCTCTTGAAGTTCTATCAGTTTCATTTAACTCATCTGTTTATATGCAAGAAGCTTGCGGAGATTGTTCTGTAGGGTAATTAGAGATGCTACTTCATCACCAGGTTAAGAGACTGTATTCGGGGTTTCTGTTCTTTCCTCATGGAAGAATTAATTCAGATGGCTGGCGCCCAAGTTAACCTAAACCTCCTCCCCACACATGCTTAAATAGAAGGCATGCAAGATTCTCTCTTTAGTCCTCTGTCACTGAGATTTCTTGGAGATAGGTCTCAAGGCTGCTGTGTGTTGTAACAACACCATGATTCTTCCAATACTGGAGATATTGGAAGAACTTGTTGATCTTTCTGGGCATGTATGAGGAACCATGAAGTAATGGTGGAGAAATATCTGTATGCAGATGGATTATCTTGCATTCTTGACTCAAAATGAGTTGTTTGCCAGTCAACTTTGAGTGTCACCTAAGCCATAACTTCAGACCTCTGCTAGTCATGTTTAGTAGTAGCACCTCACTTGTTTTGCAGATGGAAAGCAATGAGAGGGAGCCTTGGCAATAGTAGAATAAGCTGATTGATTTTGTTAACTGTTAAGACACAATCCACCAGCTGAATATAGATAGCTTTTTGCTGCTTAAACCCCGCTGCAGGCAGAGTTAGACTGTAAAAATTGTGCCTTTGTGGTTTTGCTTTGATTTATTTGAGGCACTAGATGTGTTCTATCAGTAAAAACTTATCTTGACAAATAAAAGCTGTCTTGTTAAGATAAACTAGAATAATACTATTCAACTGCATTCATAGAGAACTGGTCACAGTGATTTCTGTGTAAAAGAATGATCTCACATCAAATTTCACTCACTATTATTGCAAAGAACCCCATTTCTCTCCTGTGGGAGTCATAAAATGGCTCTAGGAAAATTCCAGTAGTCTCTGGAGCTCCACGGTTTTTTCCCTGGTTTTTCAGTATTTGTAGCAGCTCACATTTCATTTCATTATGGTACTCTTTACTCTTTCAGTTTATTGCCATAACCCAACCATCCTTTGTGCTTCACTGGAGTAGTGGAGGAGAGTTTGCACAGGCTAGCAGAGCAACTCTGAACTAGCCAGCTGAGAACTGTGGTAGGTAGTGGCAGGACCCCTGGCAAAGCCCATTTGAGGAGTTCCATGATTGTCTTCCTAGCAGCACCCTCCTGGCAGTCTGAAGCCAACTTGGATACGTCTGCACGACCTGTAACAATATCTTTGTGGTGTAGACACTGTCACCTTTCTTGTAAATATGTTAGTTGCTGCATTCAAAGGAGGATCAACACAAGGAAACTTGGTCATTACAGCTAGGAAAATCAATCGGAAAGCACCGAAGACATCTGCAACTTTGACTATGACTGCTTCCTGTAAAACCTTCTTTAACCAGACTAGATTGTAACAACCTGTTTAGGCATAATAAAGGTCGAAATGCTTGGTTTGGCCCAGGTGGCTGGGGAACAATGCTGAAACATCTTAACTACAGGTAGTTGCTTGGTCAATAGGGTCTCCAGTCAAGCATGCAAGATTTCTTTCATTGTTCTAAGACACGTGGGCCCTGCCAATGTTCTCTAGAAGCCCTGCAAACTAACAGGATGGTGAGCTCGTTGAAGAAAACAACCATATCCCTAGAGCTTGCAGTGATTTCTCTCAACAAAATGGCGGGGGGGGGAGTAGAGGGTTCTGCAATGTATTTCAGTCTATGATGGTTTCACTCCTACAGAAGCCAATGGTGTAAAAGATGAGGGTATGTGAGGGTCAACCAGTTGCAAGGATTCTGTTGCACCAGTGACTTACCTGAGTGTGGATGAGTCGTCCAGAACCTATTTTCAAAACTGAGACCTTTATCATCCTGTGTGAA